TTAGCAAGTTGCATCCAGCAATATATTAAAAAGGTCATGCACCATGATCAAGTGGGACTTATTCCAGGGATGCAAGGCTGGTACAATATCCGCAAATCAATAAACGTGATACATCACATAAACAAACTGAAAGACAAAAATCACATGATTATATCAATATATGCAGAAAAAGCATTTGACAAAATCCAACACCCATCCTATATAATAAAAGCCTAATATGCAAATTGACCAACTGGTGGAACGACTGGTCGGTATGATGCACACTGACCACCAGGAGGCAAATGCTCAATGCAGGAGCTGCCTCCAGCCCAGAGGCCTCAGGCCGGCTGGTGAGCATGCCGGCGCCACCCCCCTATCGCCGGCCAGGCCTAGGGACCCTACCCATGCATGAATTTCGTGCACCGGGCCTATAGTTTTTGATAAAAACTCTCAACAAAATGGGAATAGAGGGAGCCTATCTCAACATGATAACGGCCATATATGACAAACCTACAGCGAACATCATACTCAATGGGCAAAAACTAAAACCCTTTCCCCTAAGAACAGGAACAAGGCAGGGGATGTCCTCTTTCACCACTCTTATTCAGCATAGTACTGGAAGTCCTAGCCACCGTGATCAGACAAGAAGTAGAAATAAAAGGCATCCAAATTGGAAAAGAAGAAGTTAAACTGTCATTATTTGTAGATAACATGATATTGTACATAGAAAACCCCAAAGACTTCAACAAAAAACTACTAGACTTAATAAATGAATTCGGCAATGTAGCAGGATACAAAATCAACACCCAGAAATCTATGGCTTTATTATACAACAATAATGAACTTATAGAAAGAGAAACTAAAAAAACAAACAAACAAACAAACAAAAAATCCCATTTACCATTGCAATAAAAAAAAAATTAAGGTACCTAGGAATAAACTTAACCAAAGAGGTAAAATAACTTGTACTCAGAAAACTACAGGACGTTGAAAAAAGCGAGAGAGGAAGATATAAACAAATGGAAGAATATACCATGTTCATGGATTGGTAGAATCAACATCATTAAAATGTCCATACTACCCAAGGCAATCTACAGATTGGATGCAATCCCTGTTAAAATACCAACAGCATATTTCACAAAGCTAGAACAAATACTCCAAAAAATTACATGGAATCAAAAAAGACCCCGAATAGCTGCAGCAATTTTGATAAGGAATAACAAAGTTGGAGGAATCACAATACCAGATATCAAGTTATACTATAAAGCCGCCGTAATCAAAACTGCCTGGTACTGGCACAAGAATAGGCATATTGATCAATGGAACAGAACAGAGACCACAAACATCAATCCAAGCCGTTACACTCAATTAATATATGACAAAGGAGGCAAGAGCATACAGTGGAGTCAAGACAGTCTCCTCAATACATGGTGCTGGGAAAATTGGACAGATACATGCAAAAAAATGAAACTAGACCACAACTTACCCCATACACAGGAATAAACTCAAAATGGATAAAAGACTTAAGTGTAAGTCATGAAACCATAAAAATCCTAGAATAAACCATAGGCAGCAAAATCTCAGACATCTCTCGTAGCAATATGTTCACGGATACATTTCCTGAGGCAAAGGAAACTAAGGAGAAAACAAATGGGATTACGTCAAAATAAAAAGCATCTGCAGAGCAAAAGAAACCATCAGCAAAATGAAAAGGGAGCCCACTGCATGGGGCAACAAATTTGGCAACGATACATCTGATAAAGGGTTAATATCCAAAATACATAAGGAATTCATACAACTTAACAAAAGGAAGACAAACAATCCAATTAAAAGTGGCCAAGAGACATATGAAAAAATGCTCAAAGTCACTAATCATCCAAGAGATACAAATCAAAACAACAATGAGGTACCACATCACACCTGTCAGAATGGCTACCATCAACAAATCAACAAATGACAAGTGCTGGCAAGGATGTGGAGAAAAGGGAACCCTAGTTCGCTGCTGGTGGGAATGCAGACTGGTGCAGCCACTATGGAAAACAGTACGGCGTTTCCTCAAAAAATTAAATATGGAACTGCCATGTGACCCAGTGATCCCACTTCTAGGAATATATCCTAAGAAACCTGAAGTTCCAATCAGAAAGGATATATGCACCCCTATGTTCATAGCAGCACAGTTTACAATAGCTAAGATCTGGAAATAGCCCAAGTGCCCATCAGCAGGTGAGTGGATAAAGAAGCTGTGGTAGATCTATACCAGGGAATACTATGCAGCAGTAAAAGAGAAGGATCTCTTACCCTTTGGGACAGCATGGAGGGGCCTGGAGAGTTTCATGCTAAGAGAAATAAGTCAGAGAAAGACAAGTATGACATGATCGCACTCATATGGGGAACCTAAGTAACAAAATAAACTGATGAACGGAGTGGACCCAGAGGCATGGAAGCAGGGAACAGAGGCGGAATCTCAGAGGGAAGGAGGGGGAGGGTGGGTGTGGGGGAGGTAATCGACCAAAGACCTTGAATGCATACATGCATGGCCCATGGACACAGACAGTAGGGTGCTGAAGGCCTGGGGTGGGGAGGGAGAGGACGGTGGTGGGCTGGAGGGGGTCAATGGGGGGAAAAGGGGACATATGTAATACTTTCAACAATAAAGAATTACTTTAAAAAAACAACAACAGATTCACGATTAACTCACTGCTCTTGGACAGAGTGCCGGAATCAGCCTCTGATTGCGTGGCCGCGTCTGCCTGGGGCCCCTCACTCTGAGACCACACCTGCCAGGAG